TTTTCCTTGAACGCATAGTATAAGAATAGTCTGTTGTTGGATTCTGACTAAAAGCATGACAACAAAAATACAGACCTAAAAATCAGGTTAAGAGGACATGATATGGATCATGTTGCTCTTTGATTTTAGAGAAGTATCTCTTTTTGTGACTGCATTTCAAAAGCTACACAGTTTGAAACTGACATATTTGGTTTTTTTTTCAGTGATTAACAAAACATACGTATACACCATCACCATTTTTATTTTTAAATAAGGAAAACTGCTTTATTCTTGAGATATTCTGTTATCAGTGTTTCCAGAGTTCAAAATGCACTTTGAATTATAGAACTACATTTAATTAGAAATCCACATAACAGCTTTTCTCTTTGAAAATGTACAAGAGCTTTGAAGAAAAAGCTAGTTTGTCTAAAAGACAAATCAAAAGACAAAGTTTATTTCAATTAGATTTCCATGGTTGTGATCCATGGCTGCAGGAACAGGACAAATTAAAGAAAAATCTAAAAAATGTGTTCTCTATACCAACTATGCTAGTGCTATTGTCTGGCATTTATATAGTAGGAAAAATAGGTCTTGTAATGCATTTTAAGTACAAACCAATAACAATACAAAATATTAAAAGACCTAGGACAGTGCTATCTATCTAGCTTATATTGTTCTTCCCATCATCTTTCCAGGAGCAAAAGAAAAACATGTAAAAAATATCAGCATACTTAATGAGAAAATTAGTTTCAATTAATGTCAAAAATATTTGATGCATTTTTCAGATTCTGTAAAATACTGCGTTTTCCAGATTCTAAAGCAGACTACTTGAAACTGCCACATTTTGTTCTTTCCTTATTCATATTGCACAATGCTTATGCCAAAATATCAGGATAACTGCTACTTAAAATAAGAGATGGTAAAGCATATTTAATATATTCCACTGCAATACCCCAAATTTATTTCAAGTAGCATACAGTAAGTATTCAAGTGCTTTAGCCTATGTGTTCCTAATAATTTTCAAAGGCACTTTGCATATTTCTAGTATATTGATTAATCTTTTATACCTGTAATTTATGGTCCCGTTTCTTCTTTCACAAACAGAAATTATGTGGCTACGGACCTAGGTGATTCTAATTCCACTTTTGCTGCTTTATAGCAGGGGTGTCAAACTCAATTTCATTGAGGGCCACATCAGTGTTGTGGTTGCCCTTGGGGGCCTGGGTGGGTGTGGCCTACTGGGTGGGTGTGGCCTACTGGGTGGGTGTGGATGGAGTGGGTGTGGCCTACTGAATGGGCATGGCCAGCTCTACATCATTCATGTCAAGGGTACCTGTGGGAGCTTGGGCAGGAGTGGGACAGATCTGAGGCTCTCTGGCAGAAGGGGGGGTGGGACCGGGCCAAGCGCCAAGGCATGGTCCGTTTCTTCATTCCTCACAAAGGGTGACACCTCCCCAGCATGCACCCAGGGGGCAGGGCCGACGCAGCAGGGGATGGTTACTCACTGTTTCTAGACGGCCTTTTGGAACTAAGACTGAATGCGCTTCAGCACAGATGGTCACCACAAAATTGTATATTGGCTCCTGGCCGGCCTGGAGCAGGGCCAAGGCAGAGGGGGCCATTCCCTCACTGTTTCCAGGATGGCTTCGCAGGCCACATGAAACCACTTCGCGGGCCGCATCCGTTCCATCTTGCACTATCAGGCTATTTTTCTGAGACATGAAGTATGGATCCAATGGAGTCTCTTTGTATCATATAACTATTAGTACAATAAATATGACAGAAATTATAGTTGAGTTGAGAAGCTGTAGGAGGATAGGTTAGACTTATTGGAGATTCCATTTGTACTGTTTCCTGTAGTTATTCTAATGTGCACTCTAACTCAGTATTTATTTGAGGAGCTCCTACAAAGACAACGGGTTCAAACTATTTTCTCAAGCACCAAAAGGGAAGAGAGAAACAATGGATGGAAACTAACCAAGGAGAGGACCAAAAATTTTTTCCTAATGATGACAGCAATCAACTTGCTTTAAGAAGCTATGGGTGCTCCATCACTGGAGGTTTTCAAGAAGAAATTGGACAGCAATTTGTCTGGAATGATATAAGGTTTCTTGCTTGAGCAGGGGATTGGACTAGAAGACCTCCAAGATCCCTTCCAACTGTATTAGTCTATGTTTTATGTTCATAACTGAAAGCATCATACACTGATTCAAGTATTATGGATATACTTCCCAATATACAGTAAGAATTTCCTATTAAAATTGACATTACTTTAAAGCAGCAAGCCCTTCTCTGTTAAATGAAGAAGGCCGCCCTAGAGCAAACCTTGCATATATCCACTTGCTGTCAATCCAAGATGGGGAAAATCTTGGCAAGCTGAAATGTTCAGGGAAGGAGATGGTGTTGCAACAGTTAAATTAGGCTGTCAGAATTAGGAATGAGAATTATTTTCTAGTTCTGAATGACACCAACAAGAGTTTCTTAGCTTTCCTTTCTGGGAACATTAAGGGTCTGATTGTCAGAACAAAGTAGCACTGGCTACAGAGTCTACTCAAGTCGTTTTAAATTCTGTCCATCTGCATATGCAAAATTGCTTCCTATCAGTCTTTTTGCAAACTTCTGCACTGTTCTCCCCTTGAAACTTAGTGTTCCCACACACCATGTTCCAAAAGCATCCTGCCAACATGATTCTTCCACTTCACTTTAACTAGCTTTTTTAGAACATGAAGTTTTTCTAATTAAGTTGAAAAACGTGTGCTTCTTTTTCTCTTTACTTCTGTAATCAGTCTCCCTCCCTTAATCTCACTTGCAACCTGCTTCTCTCACACATTCATCCTTTCCATTCTAGAAATAAGAAATGCTTATAATAAGATAAGTACAAGATAGAACCAGTAAAAATCAAGGGTTGCAAAGGGAGCTGCTACATTGAAGAGAGAGAAGTCTCAGATTAAGTTGGAGAGAAAAAAATATTTTTTTCCTGGCTTTTCTTATTCTGATTTTGAAAATGTAATTGTCATCTTACATTTGTTAGGACAGTGCAACTTCTAAAAGAAAACCTACTGGAGATTCAAGATTTTAGGAAATAATGCTGCATGCGTTATTCTCCTAAATCTAGTGAGATGGTCATATTGCAGTGCACAGAATGGTGAGCTGCACTTGAATATGTTCAGATACTTTTATTACATTTATATTGATTCAGAAAAATATTACCAAAAGAATATTCTGTCATAAGAATGCTGCTGAAAGAATATGTCCCACTATGGCCAATTAAGCTTTGTTCTTAGTAAACGTGGATAGACCTGTGTCCTTAATTAATTTTTTTTTAAGAAGATGGCATTTAACTCTGAGTAACTAATGATTGTGGCTTAAGTGTTAGGTTTGCAGTAGTCTAAGGTCAGCTGCTTGTATTTTGATTATTTTCAAGAGGCTTTACTGGATCTCCTGCTGCCTACAGTGAGGCAGATGGTTCCTGAGAAAAAAGGGACTGGGTCTTCCTTTTGGATTGTACTCTCTGGGAAGTATCCCTGCCCTACAGCATCCTTTACCTTCCTGGGCTTTTAATCTAGGGTTGTTGGGGTTTTTCTTTGAAAAAATAATGTGACGTTCTTTTATCTTATTATCTTATTGTGTTTTTCAGCCTCAGAGCCGTAATAACAGCAGCAAGTCTGGGGTCACCACATCAAGTCTGGATTGTCTCCTAACCCTTCTTCTCTATTTGCAACACAGGGGAGGATAAGCATCCAATGATTGGTAGTTGAGTGGGAAGGTTCACTTACAGATCTCTTTGAAAGTAGAACTAGGGCAGACTGAGGAAGCAGAAAGAGTAAACCTATAAAGAAAATAACTTCTGATTAGGGCATGGTTTCTCTTCCTGCCTAGGGAGCCCAACTGATCATGGCTCCTATGGCAAGCTACGTGTAAATACATCACTTCTCACCTCCAGCGTCAGTTTTAACGCACTTTTAAATGCAAATCCCTTTCCAGGAGCTAGATCAGCTGCCAACCCCTTCCCTTGTGTCAGAGAAAAGTGCCTAGCTTTCCTTTGGTGCCATCTAAATTCGTCCTTCTCAAAGATTATGGGCGGTTATGGTAAGGGGCTAGAATTGAACGGGACGGGGTGGTGGTGGTGGAAAATAGAGGATAAATAAAAAAATAAAAAAAATCGTCACCGGTTGCAAAGAGCGATTTTGTTATGCCTAAAAAAAGAAATAAGGCGTGGGGTGGGGTGGGGGAAGGAGAAGAGGGAGCCGACTTCCTTCCAGCTCAAAGACTCAACTTCTTTTGGGCTCTTTTGAGGGATCCATATGCAGCTGTGAGACACGGCCGAAAGGAACTCCCGCCTGACCTAGAGAGTCACGGTCACATGGCGAATGTCCTCGACCACCAGGACCCGGAAGGCTCAGCCTCGGGGAAAAAAAAAATAGCAGGTTTTGAGGCAGGTTCCCTAATTGCTGATGCAGGACGATTTCCACTCGCGTGGGGGACGATTGTGCTGACTGCAAAGCCCGGAAAAAGGGCCGGGGGGAGGAGAAAGGAGCCGGGGGGCGTGCGGAGCCAGCTGCTACGCTGTACTGTGGGGCTTTTCGAAACTCCGGACGGGCTCGATCTTCCTTAAGGGGTAAAGCTTTTCTTGATCAAAATCCGCTTTTTTCTACCCCTCCCACGGCAGGGTAGGTACTAAACGTCTCTCTTTCCGCGCTCGTTATTTTTTTCTCCCTCACCGGCGAGGCGGAGCTGCTTCGCCCGAGAAACGCAGAGAGCTCGCCTCGCTTCTTGAGCGTGGAGGGAAAGACGCACGGGCTAAGCAGCCGCCGCCGCCGCCGCGCTCGACCGGGGAACAGCCCATTGGGCGAGGAGGGGTGGGGATCGCAAGGCAGGAGCAGCGCCCCTCGCCGCTTACTGGCTCTCGCGGCCTCTCGGCGTGCTCTGATTGGACGGAAGGGAACCCCCCCCCACCCCCACCCCCGTGCCGGGGAGTCTGCTCAAGCAAAGGGGCTTGCCTAAGCCTGCAAGTTCTATAGCGAAGCGGGGCGCACATGGTCGAGAATCAGCAGCAAGGACTTCTCCGTGGCATCCTCTCCATTTGGATTAACGGTTCCTCGCGGCGGCAGCGGCCGAGTGGCCAGAGGCAAGTCCAAAGAAAACGACCCGGTAAGACTACCTCCTTGAACAATTGCGATTGTTCACAGCCCTCCTCGCAACCCCGCTTCCCTAGTCTCAGGGCAAAGACAGGTACCAGGCTGCGGGGAGATTCCCGAGCCGGCGCTCTGCCTTCCGAAGTTTCCTTTCCCTCGCGTGGCTCTTCCAGTTCTCCGTAGCAAAGATCCCGCAGATGCCAATAGCTTTTCCGGAGAGAAAGTGAGATGTAGCGTACAGTGTCCTCAAAAAGCCTTCGTTGGTAGCAGATCGGTCCTCTTCCTTCCCCTCGCCCGGATCTGTCATGCAGCAAGGAGATAGCTGGGCGCAATCGGGAAGTCCTGCTCTTAAACGACCCCTTAAAAAAAAAAAAAAAAGAGAGAGAGAGAGAGAGAGAGAGAGAGAGAGAAAGCCGCCGGAAAATTTCTCCGGCGGCCGCGATAAATCACGTAGGCAAGCTGGGACGAGGTCAGTCGCCCTTGTAAAAGGAAGCCACGCACCAATCCGCTAGCAAAAAGCACACGAAAGAAGCGAATATCCCCTTTCGTCCTCTCTGTTTTGCGGGAAAACTCAGGTGCCGGCAGTTTTGTGCTAGTCTTGATATTTGGCGCTGATGCCGTCGGCTGAAAAGCTAGCGATGCGGGAAAATCGCCTCCGCCTCTGACTCTCTTGTTTTGGATGCTTCCCAGTTTTGCAAGCGAGACGCGGGCATGTTTTAAAATTAGCATTCACTCTTTGTAAGGTTGACTTTGCGGGGTTGAGGGTTTCCTGCTGACCTGCTTCATAAGCATATTTGTGTAGATGCCCTAGATAGAAAGAGCTGGCTTTTTACCTTGTTGGACTTAATGTTCAGATGTGGTTAGATCAATAAAGTAAAAAAGAAAGAAAAAAAGACTAATATTCACATATTGCTTTTGTGATTCTGTTGAGTTCTAATTACCTTAAAAAAACATACAATTATGGAAAAAAAAAGGTTGTGGCTAGTAGTGCTTTTTTGATTGTACAGATTGGGATCATTGATACTTCATTTTGGGGGGGGGTCATTGAGAAGCCTTGTTTCTAGAGTCAGAACAGACTTGAAGTGGCTTGTTTGACATTATGGCTTCTTAAAAGTGTTATTGGTGTATCTCTACCCCTCCCCCACAAAGGGATGATTTTAACCTTTTGTTAGATATAATCAAGAGGTGCCTTGCCAGAAACCCAATATTGTCAATCAGCGGCATCTCCTGTGCCAGGCAATGATAGAAAAAAAGAAAAGAAAAGCAGCCTATTGTATAGATTGATGAGTTTGTTTTCCCCTGGTGACCAATTTTGGTGAAAGTTGTTTTGAAGTTAACCCTAAAGATATCTTTTCCCCAAATACCTTTTAGCAAAAAGGTGAATGCATATTGTAATTTGTGGGGCAAGCTCAACTTGTTTTGAAAAACTGGAATGCTGAGTATGATGTTATGCTCAATACATGATAAAAACAACTGATGAAAAATGAGCAAGAAAGATATTTTGTCAGTATGTTAAGCAACCTCAAGGTCACAGAGTTTAGCAATGACACTGGATCTCATTCAAAGTACATACTCCCTATTATGTTTACCTTTGAAATCTGTGATTAAAAATAGGTTCAGGCTTCTGTAAAAATTTAGCTTCAAAGGCATCCTAAGGGCTGGGTTCAGCTGTAAGTGGTTATCCTGTTTTGTTTAAAAATAATGACAAAGAATCAGCTAATCAACAAATAGTAGTGGGAGAGTGTTTGATGGGAGAGGGGAGATTCAATAAAACAATGTTCTGCTGATTTAGTTCTATTACTAATATGCCATCACTGCTGGCATATTAGACCAGTAAGCAGAACATAGCAATATATAATCTACTACTCAAATCAATAAGGCTCTTCAAATGTAAATGTCAAAAGTTTATGGCTTTTTTTAGAACTACATCTGGAAGTATTGAGTTGATTAATCTGAAAGAGAAAACTTCCCCCATTCATAAGTTGTGCGTCTGTGCGAAGTTGCTGAAGTCAAGTTTATCTGTGCAAAGTAGAATAATATAATTAATGAATATCTTGGTAGGTTGGAAGGATGGTGTTAACAATACTTTCACAACTTTCCTTCTACTTGTTTATGATTATGATCCTTCTCTAACATGTAAAAGTGTATTGTAGAACTTTTGTGGAATTGTAATTCAGCCTTACTCCAATTGTTGTGCCTTTATCATTTGTATATTGTGCCTTAGAGCATCATCCTAGATGTTTAACGATATGCATGTGCTTATATTTAGAAAAGCCAGCTTCTCAAAGCTTTTCTTTGTTACTCATATGGAAACCTATTTGATTCATTCTAAATCAATGTCCTTTCCCCAAACAGAGGTGATTGTGCTTGTTTTAGTTCTCAAAGCCTTCTAAATGCAGTTGGCTAATATAAGTTGCTTCTTATCAACTTCTAAGCTAAGGGAACTGAAATCGGATCTGAATAGCTAGGAGTTAGGTATATAGGGTAATCTGGAAGAAACTGACACTTGAATTTGCATCTCATTGGCTATTTCACTACCAAATATTTCAGTGGCACCTTTAGGAAGCTATCCTCACTGATTTTAATTGATTAGGCACCATTTGTTCCTGGATATTTTCATGCCAGGTCCATTGTCCTGCTTTTTCAGGAGAGTAAGGCATCCTTGCTTGGAGAGGGAGCATAGTAGAAGACAGATGATGCTTACCTCAGCCTTTACCACAGCTGTACATGCAGCTATAAGCAGCAGTGCATGAGTGCCTCCTTTGGGAATATAATGGCTCTGCAGGGAACTGCCACAAAGTCATTCTTGGAAATTATGGATAAAGGCAGAATCTGCTAGAATGCCTATAGATCAGTGAATAGATTGTTTCTTTTCGCCTATTTGCATATGGACATGAGGGTCATCCTTGTATCTTCAGTTCCGAATGATGGAGCATGTACTATAGAAGGACTGAGAGTTGGTGTATCTGATCACCAGGGCAAACAAGAGAAGCTGCCATTTCAAAGACAAAGCATTTCAAAGAGATGTAATGGGATCTTTATCTACATATTTGAAATGACCAATGCATATTTGAAATACATTGGAAAAGTTTAGAAGGTGGTTTGTCTTTCCTTAATAGGAAAGGCTTCTTCTGACTTTGGTTAACAAATGGGGTGGATTTTCTAGCTTTGTTTCTCAAATCAAAGCACACTTTCATCAAAGCAATTCAAATGGTTACAACTCAGCACTATTTCTTGAGCCTCCTGTAATGAATTGTAGTTGCTTTTCTGTTTTCTTATTTGTAGAAAGCTGTGCTGTTCACAAAAGTGTGCCTATTGCTTTTGTGTAAACTTGCAGCCTTTGAAGAAACCTGCAGTTAGAACAGTATAGCAAGGCAACATGGTAGGACAATTTGCATTCATTTAGATTTCACAAAATGTGTAATATGTGTTACTGTGTGTCATTCATTTTTTAATAACAGGAACAAGTTTGATATTTAGTATACTTATCTAGAAGAAGAAGTTGAATGACCTTATGCCGCTTGAGTTTCAAAGAACTATCCTCCTGAAGAGTCCTTCCATACTTTTTCCAATAAACTGTACTCTGAATCAGCACTTGCAATCTAAATTAATTGTCAGTTAATTATATAATGCATACTGTAATTATCTGGAGTTTTCCTTCTCTTAAAAAGCAACTGTTCACAGAAATAAAATAAATCTTTTTGTAAATCAAAAAGAAGGAAAAGAAAAATCCCAAGACCAGAGTAATACTTTTTAAAAACTCACAGGAAGGACCAAAAGTTGTGACAATTTTCTTGGGAAAAGTCTGAAACAAAATGATAAATTTGTAAGGCTATAACTACATCTGATCTTTTATTATGGGACAAACTTGCTGCTTTGGCAGTATTAAAGGAGTAATCATTTACCTGCTGTGGATATTAATCAACATTTGCAACACAGTGGGAGTTGCTTCAAATAAAGAGCTCAGAGTAGTGTGAAAATGAAGGACTTGCTTTTGGTGACCTTCATAGATATGATTTTCAAGAAAGCATTGTCTGTGCTTCCTGTAAAGTGTATTTCGAGAGATAGTAAGTATCAGGGTCAACAACTGGTCAATTCCATAATACTGAATTATTTGGGGCATTAAGAGAACAAAAAAAATCTGAGGCAATTCATGGAGGATTTTAAAAAGCTACATATGTATTTGCAAATGAAGACTGAGATAGCTCCGTTGTAGAATCTATGCTGGGAAAACTCGTCTTACCTTGTAAAAACAGTTGTCCTAAGATACTTTTTTAAACAATTGTAGTGCTTTGGGGAATAGTTATGAGAACAGAGACAAAGAAATGTATTGATCAAGCAGAGGCCAATGCAATATGAAAGGTAGATAGCTTTAATACAAAAGTCTAGATGAGTTTAATGTAGTGGTGTTAAAATCAGTGCATCTAAAAACAGTAAGTAGGAGGAGATTCTCCTGTAATTAAACATGCTATTTATGTCATGAAAAGAGTTTCATTCAATGATTCAAGGCCTCAAAGTCACATTACATTCTAATTAAGACGCTACTGAGAATTAAAAGGTAGACTCTTGTTTGAATTCATCTCAGCTCTTGGGCACTACATGGACACATTTCTGTGTCAGGAATATGGCTCAGGGATGTTTTATTTCAGATTTCTAATGTAATCTAAGTCCTAGGATTTCCTGATATCCATTCAGCTAACCAGGTATGATTTAACTTTAACTTAGCTTTTTGAGATCAGTTAACTTTGGCTATATATTGTTGTCTGTCTGGGTAATACTGATAATCATTATAATCAAATGCAATAATTAGCATTTTTAAAAGATGAATAAAATCTTAGCTATATGAGACAGCATACATTTTGATGATTAAGTGCTATTGAGTTGGTTTCGACTCTTAGTGGCAAAATAGTTACACTTTCTTTATGATTGTTCATGAAGCAATTAACCCTATTAGTCATTCATTCTTACATAAAAAATCAGTCTAAAAATAAGTCTCTTTTTCAGCATAACATGTGA